AGGCATCAACCTGCCAATCAGATTAGTGAGCCTCCTTGAAAGCAGATCTTCCTGCCTCAGTCAAAACTTCAGATGATTCCTCGTCTTTTAGCTGAGATCCCAGAAAATGTGAAGAAATAAACCATTTTTGCTTTGCCCTGTTTGAATAGTTGACTCATGGAATAAATAATTATTGTTGTTCCAAACTACTATTTTGGAGTGGTTTATTAGACAGGAATAGATAATTAATTCTGAGGAGCCACAAAGGCAGGAAAGAAAAGAATTTGGTAAGGTAATTTAAATTAAATGAACCAGATGAACTTTATTTTTTTTTATTGTTAATTAGTTATGGGTACACAGTGACTCCTTGTATTTCTCTTGTTATTATATTTAAGAAATTGAGACATCATTACATACAATACACATACACATACCTTAAATGTTGTTCAATGAGTTCTCACAATTGTTTATACCCATGTAACCACCACCCAAGGCAGGATACTGAAGACTTCTGTCACCCCAGAAAGCCCCCTCCTGCTCCTTTCTAGTCAGCTCTCTCTTTCTAAGTCCAAATCACTTTTTTAAAATTCAATGATCATAGGTTAGTTTTGCATTTTTATTTTTATACTAGAGGCCTGGTGCACAAATTTGTGCAAGAGGGGAATAGAGGTCGGTCCCTCAGCCTGGCCTGCACCCTCTCGCAATCCTGGATCACTGGCTCCTAACCGCTTGCCTGCCTACTGGCTTGATCGCCACCTAACTGCTCCCCTGCCAGCCTGATGGCTCCCAACTGTCCTCCCCTGAGAGCCTCATGGCCCACAATTGTCTCCCCTCCCCACCCCCATCAGCCTGATCACCCCTAATTGCCTCTGCCTCTGCCCTCACCACTGTGGCTTTGTCTGGAAGGAAGCCAGTCAGAAGATGTCCCCTCTTCTGGTCTAATTAGCATATTACCCTTTTATTAGTATAGGCAAATGGAATTATACAGTGTTATTTTGTTCTGGTTTCTTTCCCTCAGCAAACTATTGGTGAGATTCATTCATGTCATTGCTTATATCAGCAGTTCACTCCTACTTATTAGCAAGTAGTATGAATACACCACAATTTGTTTATCCATTCTTCTCTTACTATTTCTTTAAAAAAAAAAGTTTGTCTTTTTAAATTGATTTGAAAGAGAGAGAAGAAGAGAGAGGGAGAGAGATCATCTATTGGCTGCCTCCTGCACTACCTTACTGGGGACTGAGTCCACAACGTGGGCATGTGCCCTGACCAGGGAATTGAACCAGCAACCTTTTGGTGCATAGAACAATGCCCAACCAACTGATCCACCAGGCACAGCCTCCCTTTATTTCTTAAGAAAAATAAGTATATTTCTTCTTCATTATTGTGGACATGTCAACATTACATGGACAAAACTACATGTACAAAGTTATGCATAAAACATTGATATCATTATAAGTAACATCATATAAATATGTAGAATGCATTAGGGAATGATTGATAGTAACCATCTCTACAGACTCTTCATAGAATGAGAGTTATAAGCACTCTGTTTACCATAGTGAGTACCCTGCCCTTAAGACATTTAACTTGAAAATATAAACTGCTATGCAAAAAATAATAAATAGGGCAATTATTTTGAGAAGAAACTTGATCCAAAAGACAGATTTAGAATTAATGACAGAAATAAAAAAGGAAAAAAATAGAGAGTTTATTTGTTGTACACACACACACACATAGATCAGCAATATTTCTAGACTCATGTATGGAGGCCAGTGAGACATATGAACCAATGGTGACTTCAATTGTTCTCTCTGGAGTGTCTGATACTTCTTTAAATGAAATCTGACTGTGCATTTTTAATATATTTAATTATACATTAAAGAGATTTGATATAGACCGTGGAATTGTAGTATTTTTTTCATGAAATCATTTTGTTCTTGGTGAGTCAAAGATCATGTGTTCAGAAATATGTTGGTTTGGAGATGATTTTCAGGTAGATTTCCCAAGGCCATTTTGTTAATGACACTAGTTTTAAAAAGAGTTATCATTATCCCAGTTCTGAACTTCTAAAGCAGAAACACTTCGAAATAGTGTTGAATTTATGATATAGCAAAGAGAGACACTAAGCTTAATTTTGTTATTTTCCCCAGAGGATCAAAATAACCTCAAATCCTATATGTTGACTACTCTCCTGCACTTTCTAATTTATAATCTCTATCATTTTTGAATTATAGGAGCAGCCAATAGAGTATCTGAAAACACTTCGTTTATACTTCGCCTTTCTTCTTGGAAATATAAATATCTGAAGAGGTTATTATCCTATAAAAGAGAGACATTATAATTTATGAATACTAAAAAAACCCATGTTCATTCCTGTTAAACTATGTGAAGAGCTGGAAACGGTGATTTTTCTCATGGAAAATATATAATAAAGGGAGTGCTCTGCCTGCTGCATCCTTAAGGACCTTTTGATCCCATTTTAGCCCTGATTACTCTCTATCAATAACCTTTGGACAACTTTCCTCACCCTGTTCTTTGTTTCTACTTTCCTATATGAATTAAGTGAAAATATTGTCCTCATCAATATCATCTTGTGGCATCGCCAAAGATCAATCCCTCCGGCCCAGATCCCAGCATGCAGCCAGAAATCTGAGCAGGTGGAAGGCTGCCTGCTTCGCTGGAAGCTGAAAACTGGAGTAGGCAGTTGTAATCAGCCCTAGAGGATTACAATTTATCTGGGCTGCTGTTCACTGCTACTGGTTTCATTTGTAACTTGTCTCAGCTAGGCAATTAAAAGGAAGCCTTTAGAAAAGAATGTATGTGCAATTCTTTATTATAATTTATACTTAATTTAAGGTTTTGAGGAATAGGGATATTTTATTCTAAACTAAATGACAGCCCAGCAGTATGGTTAGCCAATAGAGCTTGTATCTATTTATAAATTTGGAATAGCAATAATGGTCTCCATCAACTATTGTATGCACGGTTGGGCAACAGTAGGTTTACAGTTGTAATAGAAATAAATAATACAATAATCAATAAGTAGTAATAGAAGAATAAACTATTTTTTGCATACTCACAACTGTAAGCCTACTGTTGCCCGCCCCTGTATATTATGGCGGTGAATCAAGATATTTTTGTACAGGTTCAAGGTCAATGGCTAAATCTGCAATAGATGAAATACTACCCACGATCATTAAATTGTTTAAAATCACTAACAATTTAAACAGCCTAACACCCATTTGTTTGCCTATAGGTAATTCACCGGAGTTCACATTTGGTTACCTTCACCTCCATCCCCAACTAGGGGTGTGGTTTATTAATCTGGTTACTTAATATTTCTGATATTCATTTTTGCATCTTTAAAAGTGGAAACTGTAATTATAAGATGTTTCTAAGGAGGAACAGTAAATTATGTAAAACACCTAGCATGTGTTTGTTACAGAACAGAATAGAGACTCAGTATTTGGAAGCTATATTATTCACACTAACAAGTAATTCCAGGTCATCCATTAGTTTCCTAAAAATGTTTAGTACATTTACACAGAAGAAAGTAAGTATTGTTCTGTTTCGTCATTTGTGTTGTTCTCAGTCATGCCCAAATCAGGTGGGCACCTTGTGTAACACCAGCTTTTGTCTGTTCTTCCTAGAAATCCAAATGGTGTAATGGCCCAAAGCAGCTGACCATGACCCTATGTCAGTGCAACTCCTGAGTTTGAGGGGTTGCTTCTGCCGTCATAGTGGGAACACTGGGGTGTGAGGTTTGGATTCTGCTTTCTAAGCTATTGCATGCCTTCCAAGGACCTCATTTTCCTCACTGATCCAGAAGCAAGGTTTCATAACTGAAGGAAGAATATATGTTATAGCTTCAAAGGTACCTTTGTGTGGACTAGGCCGTTTACAAGGAGAGCTGATGACAATTGGGGTATACTTCTGAGGAGACAGAGCAGAGAGTGAGACTTTAAATTTGCTGAGATAGAACAATCTAGGAGCATCTATTCTAGTATAATATCTTGGCAACACCATTTATTTTTTTAATGCAGCTTCCTGATTGTTCACGTGACCATACCAATGTTAATATATAAACACTCCAAAGGGAAGGAATCATTTCTTAGTGGTTTCACTGAAATTCTAAGTGGTACTGGGAAGTATGTGGGAATAAGAAGAATCCGTTTTATTGATTAGTTCTGACTTTGGGTAGGGTCCAAATTCTTCCTTGAACATCCTTAATGTTGTTGCACACTATAGGTGCTTTTAAAATGTCTTAAATGTAGCCTGAGACAACTGCCCGAGGAGTCCTAGTTGCCTAATACCACCCCCACCCCTACCCCCACCTCTTTGTAGGCATTGTTGTGGAAATTAGTGAAGACTGGCTGGGGACTCCCTATACAAAACTAAAAAGAGCTTTCAAAAACAAATACGTGCGAGAGAGTTCACAATGAGCCCAGCATCTCTATAAACAGTCATTTCCAAAGCAAATACCTCAATGGGAGAGACAGACGCCTTTGTCAGCTGGGTTGCAGAATTTAAAAAAGAACAAGAGCCCGCCCGTGCCTTTGTTGAGAAAAAAACAATTTAGCTTCTGGAAACGATTTCACAGCTTGGGGCTCAGCGATGCCTAGTTTAGATGAAATTGTCTATTAATTAAACCGGAATGATTTAAACATTCATCACCTTGCATTGCACCTCTCAGAAAACAAAACACACGCACACACACACACACACACACACACACACACATACACACACACAAAAACCTTGGGGTTTGGAAGGATGACAACAGACATCATCCTCTCCCCCCCTCTCCTCCCTTTCGCTAGCAGCCAGCCTGTTTAAAGTGCAGGGTATTGAAGAAGCCGGGGACCCTCTCCAGCTCCCACGGGCTCTGGGCAAACCCTGCCCGCGGGCCCAGCAGGGCGCTGCGCCCCAGCGCGTTGGCAGTTGGCGACCCCCCTCGACTCCCCCCGCTGCACTGCGGGCTCCCTGTGGCCTTTGGAGGCCCGGCCAGGCGGCTCCAAATGTTTTCCATATTTGTTCAGCCTCCGTAATCCGAATACCAGGGCCGGCTCAGCCCGCCCAGCGCCGCCCGGGCCCAGGGCGCGCCGCCCACACACGCGCGCGCCCGCCGCCCGCGCCGCCGCCGCCGCCATGGGCCAGGACAGGCCGCCCCGCGGCCAGCGCAGGCAGGGGGGGCTGCCGGCCGGGAGCGCCCCCGGGCCCGACGACATGGGGCCGAAGAAGGGCCAGGGTCTCCCCAAGGAGTGCGGGGAGGAGGAGGCCCGGACGTGCTGCGGCTGCCGGTTCCCGCTGCTGCTCGCCCTGCTGCAGCTGGCCCTGGGCATCGCCGTGACCGTGGTGGGCTTCCTCATGGCGAGCATCAGCCCCTCCCTGCTAGTCAGGGACACTCCATTTTGGGCTGGGATCATTGTAAGCATCGAGTCTGTTTTTGCCTGGGCGCGTTTTGCCGGAGCAGGAATGCAACGCCGCATGATCGAGGCACCACTAACTAACCCAGCTGCATGCGCCCCTCCCCAGCTCCACGCCCGCTAACTCGCCCTCTGCTTGGGGACACGGATGCCCGCCGCCCCGGGTGTGCCTGGGGGGCCAGGCTGGGCGACCCAGGACTGGCGCCCTCTCTGCTGCTTGTTGCTCCAAATGCCTCCAAGGGGCCTGACTCTAAACGCGCTCTGGACCTGGGGAGGCCAAAGGCTGTTTTATTTTGATCAAACTGAACAGCTCCCTCCCCAGAACAACAGCAGATTCACGTTGGCTTTTTCCTTATTCTGGTCCCTGGACCCCCCACCCCTACCCCTATCCCTAAATAAGCAAGGAACCTCGAAGTAGTTCATCTTAGTTAAAAGAAAAAAAAAAAAAAAAAAAAAGTAGGTTTGGAAAAATCCTGTCCTTGGAGGTGCCCTTATGGGTTCGCCTTCATTGTATTCTTCACATGTGAGGTTCCATGAGTACATCTTACAGAACAGTGTAGCCTAAAGCAGGAAACGCGAATGCAGCAAGCACACGCTTGATCTGCTGGAGGCTCCAGTGGGATCAGCCCAGGGCTCCGGCCCTGGCAGAGGTTTCCTTGGGTCTCTGCTAATGGATGTACTGTTCTGAGCAGAACACTGCTCAGCTGTTGGGCGTGTGGAGGCCCACGGCAGGCATATTTGGCTTAATGAAATGGCCTCTTGGATGTGAAATGGGTGCTATTTATTGAGCACCTACTATGTGCCTGTCCTGCTAGAGGCCTTAAAAAAAAATATATATATATATATATATTTTTTTTTTTTTTAAATTATTTTTTTTTCTAATTCCCACATCATTCTTAATCGGATATTTCTTACTTCATTTCTCAAATGGGAGAACTGAGGGTCATGAGTTGGCAAAGTTGCCACATCAGCCAAGTTGATTCCCTTTGCACCAGATTACATGGGCACTTTTCCCATTGAGCCACACTGCCACCACATTTGGTTTGTTATATATATGTGTGTGTGTGTGTGTGTGTGTGTGTGTGTACGATGTGCCTGTAGAGTCTGGTTTATTTTCTAAAACCTCTTGCAGAATAAGGGCCCGGAATTAAGAGAAATGTCCTACAATGATTAACATGGCATTTTTGTACAGAGCCCAGTTTTAACATTATGCTATATAATGGTGCCTTGTGGTTTACCGAAATCCCATTGATCCATGAAACAACACTCTGAGGTGGGAAGTGTGTTTCCTCTTTGGACAGGAGGAAACAGATTGAGAGCAGTTAAGGGACATTCTCAGGATCCAGAGATTATGAGTGGTGGAGTCAGGCAAGACTGGAATCACCCTTCTGGCTCCTAGTCTCCTATTGCGTCATTACTGCTATTACTGACCGCGGGAGCTATAACTCACAGAGCAATCCTCAAAATAATTTTGTATCAGGGCAGTTGCTAAAAACAACTGATAAATATGCATCAAGGTAGGGCTTTCCTAATTAAGATTATTTGAACTCACAAATTCTTGCCAAGCAATTTAAAACTTTTAATTTGTGTACTAAGAATCCCCACGAAATTATCATGATTGGAGTTTTCTAAATCAAGTGATTTTAAAAATAGCTTTTCACTAAGGTATACTGGGTATTTTAGTCACCCCAATGACTGTCAAGATACGAGAGGACTTGAATGCTAGGCAAATTAAAGGGGAAAAAAAGGAATGAAACTCCTTCATCAATGGTTTTGAATATCATTTGAGAATGGGTTTTCTATCTTTTCTTTATTTCAACTTTGAAAAGCCCAGTACCAAAAGAAAGCAAATTAGATGGGAAAAATTTTTGGTCTTGATGTTTAAGGCCGACCATACAAATTATGCAATTCTGAAATTTCAAGAGCTCCTATTAGGAGTATCTCATGGATACTGCCTGCGTGTGGCACAAAAAGTGTTATCTATAGCCACGTCTCTCTTCTTTCCAGTTTTCTAGTTTATAATGTAGGATTGACTTCAAGTTTTTTTTTTTGTAGTGATATCTGTCCCGGTCTTTATAACCTCACGCTTTCTTTAGAAAACGTGGAGTGTGTTTGTAGAGCTGAGCAGGTCACGGAGATGACCTGGGACCGATGAGGAGTGCCCCAGAGGAGCCAGGCAAGGACAAACTCTCATCCCAGCTGGGCCAGCGCTGCAGGCAACATGACACTGCCTCCCACAGACCCCGGGCTTGTTGTCCTCATCTCACTGCCTGTGGTTGTGCATGGGGCACGCTTCCAAGCTTTCAGGGGTGGGAAAAGGCAGGATGGGGACGGGCAGACGCACAAACACTGCACCTGGTGTGGAGTCCTCCCTCGGCCATTATTCTCTGAGCAACTTGGGCAAGTTATTTAACCTCTCCGGGTTTCCGTTTTGTCATTGACGAAATCTATGCTTATAACAATTCCTACCTCTTAGGGTTGTCCTGAGGATGAAATAAATTAAGACATGTTCAAATACTTAGGACAGTGCTGGCTCATGGTGAGCATTCACTGAGTCAGCTCTTTTTATTAGCAGTGAGCGGAACCATCATCGGTAGAGGCACTCTTCAAATCAATTGAAGTGGCTCAGTTCTATCTCTGGTCTTGCAGGACAGTCATTTTGGACTTGCTACAGTTTCCAGACCAGTTTGAACCCCGAAGGAGATAGCTATTTGGCTGTCTCACTTTTTCTGTTCTCTATCAAGTTGCTATGAGCAATCTTAGTGGTATTATATTAGCCCAGTACTTTCTGAATCTCTATGGAGGTTTATAAAAATTAACTTGGAGGAAAGGATCTCCCCCACCCCCCAGATCATTTTGCCTAGAAATATGGGGTGCTTCTGGTCCTGTTTAAGAGACCTGATAGACCATAGCAGGGCAGGCCAATCCCTGGGGCTAAAGGCAAAGTCGAACCTCCTTTCAGAATTTAGGCTGAATTCAAGCAGGAACCCCAGGCTGATGCACTCACCCTATCAATAGCTTTGCACGCTTAATTCATGTTAGTTATTCATTTTTCAATGACCTGGGGTTTGGGGCATTTGCCATTCCCATAATTGAATCTTGGTATAGGGACTAAGCCACTGAGGTGGCTTCTCATTGACCAATTTTTAGGTGACTTGCTGAATATCCAGGGGCTTTCTGGTTATAGATCGAAGAAGCCCTTGGTGATCTATGACCAGAGAGTTATGGCCAGTGAAACTTTAGGAAAACATATAAACTGTTTCTTGCCTATCCACAAATGTGACTTCCTGACTGAAGTATTTTTACTTCAGTTACAAAAGGTTCCTGTAAAGGAAAAAAAATAGAATGAAGCCACTATGGAGACCAAAGTAACTTGTCAAAGTGCCATTCTTCTCTCAATTTCTTTATAATGGCTTCAGGATTGTAAGCCATGCCACAATGACAATGCAAAGTGAAACAGGGTCTTTGAGGATGAACTTGGCTAAAGGTAGGGGATTCTAAGTAGTAGACGTTTGCTCTGCTTTTTATTCTACCAGTGCTTGAGTAGCTGGGTCAAATAGGCATTTAAGGTTGCTCATCATTCCAGAATTCTTACTGATGAAAAGTGAGTATGGATTGAAGGAATCTGAGAACTTTGGGTCTTTAATTACTTCTTGCTCAAATGAATGCAATTTTGGAGTAGGTGAACTTTGGCTTATTTTTCTTCATTCAGTAACATTTGTTGGGGGTATCCACTGTGCTAGGTATTGGTCAAAAAATAATGAATTATCTACCAGGAGGAGATCTCTGGAGATCCTGATGGACTCGTGTCTTTACCATATCTGACAGTAATGAATACTTCCGATTACAAAATGTAACCCACATAAAAATTTTTTAAAGTCCATTTACCTTTCAAAGCATTTCACTTACAGTGATTTATTTATTTTGGCACCTCTACTCTGTAGTCAATTTAAGAGCAGACTCTTGTCTCTCATCCCCAATGGGGATGCTTAGTATTTGTTAGTCTCTTGGCCCTTGCCAATGAGGTAATAGTCTCATGGAAAATGGGGGTTTCTTTGTCCTATTGTAGTTTTCAGCTTTCCCAATTCTCTTTCTATTGCTCCCATACTCCACCCAACTTGAATAAAAATCCTGAGATATCTCTTTCTATATCTATCTATCTATCTATCTATCTATCTATCTCTATCTATATTTATATATATTTATATATTTATATATAGAGAGATAGATATAATATATATTTAATATAGATTTATAATAAATTTATAATAGATTTACATATATATTTATATATAGATAGATACAGATATAGATAGATATAGATATAGATAGATATAGATAGATAAATAGATATATATAGATATAAATATAGATAGATATATAGATACAGATAGATATAGATAGATATAGATAGATATAGATAGAGATAGATAGAGATAGATATAGAGATAAATAGATATCACATCAGAAAGTTTAAGGAAAGGGCTTAAAAGGAAGGGAAGAATATTTCATTTCCTTAATATCATTCATAAAACTCACTATATCAATCTGTCATGATTAAGAGTCCTGTCAAGAATCTGACATACTCTAAGGAGTTCAAAATGCAGATTTATTCAATATTAAAAATCTATTTTTAATTTGATTTAATGGTAGGGAAAATTGAGTGGTTATTTATTTTAAAATAGATTATACCCTGAAATTCATAATTAGGTATATGATATATAGCAAGTAATTGGAACAGATATTGTTATTATCCATAATTTGTAAGTAGAGAAACTGATATATGATGATTTAGCTAAATAATTTGGTCATGGTTATGAAAAGAAACTGGAAGTGAGGAAGGCTTGGCATTGGGTTAGGGACAGATCCTAAAGCAAGGCAGGAACTAAAAATGGTATCAATTTTCTATATAGGTTTATTGACATCTGAGCAATTTAATCTGGAATTATATTTTAGAAATACATTGCACAATAATGCATTTCTTTTTATATCGGGACTTTA